TTTAGGGCTATTGTTTTTGGCTCCGATGTTCACCTCAAGCCCTAGCTAGGACATGTATAAATCCCATAACAACAGCCTGACATGAAATTGCTCACCCTCGCATTGCATCAGGGGACTTTTACTCAGGCGGAGTTTGAATGCCTCATTGTTTAATGGGACAGGAAGTTTACTCTTGATGCAAATGAAGAATCTTTGTTTTTTTCTCCTTACCTCCTTGGAAGATTTTCACAGAGGCCTGTCTTGTCATCCCTCGCTCCTTCCATGGCAGCAGCTGCACCCAAGTTCCTTCTCAGAGCCGGGTTTTCTTAGGACCGGAGGACCAGTTTGAGGCAGGCTTCTCCGTGAAGGGGACACTGGGAGATGGGCCAAGGGCCCCCCAGGAACACAGAAGGGTGGGGTCTTCTGAAAAGGGCTGGATTTTTCTCTTTTCAGTTTCTTTAATCCTGATCTCAGCCTCGGTTGGCTTCCTCTACACAGAGAGAGGGAAGCCCCATCCCCAAACCTTTTTAGGTTTGTTTTTCTGTCTTAAGCTACACCACCTGGTGACCAGCTCACACTGGGGTCATGGGGCTAGGACTCTGGCATTCACAAGATGCCTCATTCAGAACCATGAGCCCATCTTCCACTGGAGCAAATCCCTAAGACAGAAACTTCTAGAAAAAGCCTTTGGGGGTTCCCCATCTCTGCACACTCTCTAGGCAAATTCTCCAAAGAGCATTAGAGGAACCCTCTTAACCTTCTGCTGATGCCCCCTGACCAAGAGACCGGCCAAGAGAGACCCTCAAAGAAAGAAAGGGTTCACTACTTTTGTTGCAGGAAGGGGGACCCCTTCCAGGGCCCGAAACTGGGCTCTTGTCTAACACTTGGAAATGAATTGTCCGAGGAGACACATGTGCTGACAAAGCAAGAGATTTTATTGGGAAAGGGCACCCGGGTGGAGAGCAGTAGGTAAGGGAACCCAGGAGAACTGCTCTGCCACGTGGCTCGCAGTCTTGGGTTTTATGGTGATGGGATTAGTTTCCGGGTGGCTTTGGCCAATCATTCTAATTCAGAGTCTTTCCTGGTGGTGCAGGCATCGCTCAGCCAAGATGGATGTTATCGAGAGGGATTCTGGGAAGTGGATGGACACGCGGTGTCTCCTTTTGACCTTTCCCGAACTCTTCCGGTTGGTGGTGGCTTATTAGTTCGGTATTTCTTATCAGGGTCTCCTGTCATAAAAAAACTCATGCAAATGGTTACTATGGTGCCTGGCCAGGGTGGGCGGTTTCAATCAGTGTGCTTCCCCTAACACTTTCAGTCAAAGGAAACCAGATCAGGATCATGATGGGTGACTGGCAGGAACGCTGACCCAAAGCCCTAATTTACTTAGTTCTTATTTCCATAATCTTTTTTTCCCCTATATATCCAAAAAGAAATCGTTCATGGGAAGGAGGGAGGGAGGGAGGAAAGAAGGGAGAGAGAAAAAGAAAAAAGACAAAACTCACAGGCTATGGGCATACGCCCTAGGGAATAGCCTAAGGTTGCAATTCCATTGCAATTGTCTTCTGCCCCCAACTTCATCAGCATGTTCCCAAGAGTCACTATGCTACTTGACAACATATATCCTAGATTTTGTTTGTTCCAAACAACAGGATTTTCACATGTCTATATACATGTATGTGGGTGTGTTTTCACTGTACCACGTCAAGTGCAATTAAGCAAGAAGGAACCACCTCCCTCCTGGCCAAGCTCTGTTCTCTCGCTGGCTTTCACCTTGGTGTCGCCTGCAGAGCCTGAGCGTCTCCCCTGGAGATTCTGATTTAATCAGGCAGTGCTGGGATCTGAAGGCAGATTTTTTTTTTTTTAAGCTCCCCAGGTCACTGTAAGGTGCAAACAGGGTGACCATCCACTGACCGCGGCCAGCCCCCGCGCAGCCTCCCTGCACGGGCCCACAGTCAGCCACACGCCTTGCACAACTTCCCTCTTATTCAGGCACTGGCGCTTCTGTGGTCCTCACCCTGGCTTCACCCCATCAGGGATCTGGCATCCCCTGTGACCATCAACCATGGCCAAAAAAAAAAAAGTTCTTCTGGAAATGCCCGCGAGCATAATTTCACATTCGAAGTTACTCCTTCACACTCAATAAAAACGACTGTGTTTGTAACACATCTGGTCATTCTTACATGATGAGGTGGGAAACACCAAGCTATATTCGGTGGCACTTGACTGCCTGGCTGCATCCTTCCTTGGTGAGTCCACGCCCTAGCTTCCTCAGTGGGCAGTGAGACTCCATCCCATGTAAGGCATACATCATGATCTGCTGCCAATCTTCCAGGCTCAGGGCCTGGCACATCAAAGAGGCTCAGCAAACTTCTGATGAAACAGAGACGACTGAGTCTGCAGATTCTGGGTGCTTCCCCAACCTAATTTAGGTCTGGAAATTCAAACAACTGGGTTGAGAAAAAGATGTCCTGGTGATTACAAAACCCCATCTCTGAGAACACAGTGAGGGATAGAACTAGCCAAGGAAATGCAGCAATGATCAGCAGATATGCATAGATTTCACCCTCCCTGCCTCTCCTCCTTTCCAGCTCTTTCGAGGGGGCGGGGGGCGGGGGGAGGAAGAGCCTCTCCTGTCTTCACAAGGCCTTCTTCCCCATGAGTGCATCTGCACACCTCCAAATCTCTTTGTAAGGATGCCAGTCACTGAATCTGGGGCCCACCCTACCCCAAAATGGGCTTCCCTGGTGGCTCAGGCGGTAAAGAATCCACTTGCAATGCAGGAGACCCGGGTTCAATCCCTGGGTCGGGAAGATCCCCTGGAGAAGGGCATGGCAACACACCCCAGTATTCTTGCCTGGAGAATCCCGTGGACAGCGGAGGGGGTCACAAAGAGTTGGACCCAACTGAGTGACTAACACTACTCCAACGTGGCCATCTTGACTGGATGACATCTGCAAAACCCCTACAAGGTCACACTTACAGGTGCCAGGGGTTAGGACTTTAACCTCCCACAATGTCCAGCGTGCTGGTCTCTGATCAGGCTACACCTAGAATTTGGGGTCCAGCTCATGAGCCATATTTTAAGATGTCCAGTGTAAAAACTGCTTACATTTGTGTGATATGAGGAGCAGTTATGGGATCTATATTCAGTTTAGATCCAGGAAACATTAAGAAGAATACATGTCTAGAAAACCATAATTTGAAAAGATATGGGCACCCCAATGTTCATTGCAGCATTATTTACAATAGCCAGGACACGAAAGTAACCTAAATGTCCATTGACAGAGGAATGGATACAGAATATGTGGTATATAATGGAATATTACACAGTCATGAAAAGAATGATTAATGCCATTAGCAGCAACATGGATGGACCTAGAAATTATCACTAAGTAAGTCAAATATCATATGATATTGCTAATATGTGCAATTTTTTAAAACAGTAGAAATGAACTTATCTAAAGAACAGATAGAATTACAGATGTAGAAAATTTATGGTTGCCAAAGGGTAACAGGTGGGGGCGGTGGGGAATAAATTGGGAAATTGGGATTACTACTACCTATATAGTAGGTAACTTGTAAGAACCTACTATATAACAGAGGGAACTCTACCCAATACTCTCTAATGGACTATATGGGAAAAGAATGTTAAAAAGAGTGTATATATGTACATGTATAACTGATTCACTTTGCTGTACACTTGAAACTAACATTATAAATCAACTGTACTCCAACAAAAATTTTAAAAAGAAAAAAAATAAAAGAGGAGTAAATGTTTGTGATCAAACCAGTCAATCCTAAAAGAAATCAACCCTGAATATTCACTGGAAGGATAGAAGCTGAAGCTCCAATACTCTGGCCACCTGATGCAAAGAGCCGACTCACTGGAAAGACCCTGATGCTGGGAAAGATTGAAGGCAAAAGGAAAAGAGGGCCACAGAGGATGAGATGGTTGACTGGCATCACTGACTCAATGGACTTGAGTTTGAACAAACTCCAGGAGATAGTGGAGGACAGAGGAGCCTGGTGTGCTGCAGTCCACGGGGTCACAAAGAGCCAGACTCAGCAACTCAACAACAGTATGTTTGCCTTCACTTAGTTATGGCTTTTGTGGTACACCTAATCTGTATTGATTCAGTGGGAAGCACATTTTGGCTTAATAGAATTTTACTCAAATATGCCAATGATCTCTGGATGAAGGCCATCTACCAAGGGCTGTCTACCCAGTCATGGGTTACTCATCCGATAAACGTGTACCAAGGCCCAGTATGCAGCCAGGCAGCAGGCTCCTGGCCAGACATCTGGGGCAGCGACAGGTCTTGCTCTCAGTCAGTAGTCTTACCGACTAGCGACTCCAAAACGGTCCAGGCCACCTGGGTGGGCAGATGCTTAGGGCGCTACCCAGGACGTTCTCCGTAGAGAGGGTGTGGACCACCACATCCCCTCAGAGCTAGGGCACTGCAGTCTTTATGATCCCTGAGAGGCGAAACAGAGAGGAAATCGGAGGTTTGGAGCCGGGAGCGCAGGGGCAGAATGATTGAAGAAAACATTTTAAAGGGTTTCAATGAGCCCAGAGTGGTTTTCCCTGGTGGAACACGTGCAGAGAAGCGGGTTCCCTCACACCATCATGCAGAGGAGGGCTTTCATCCGACAAGCCGGAGGCTCCTCTCCCCACCGACCCTAAGGAGCAGACACTCAACAAACAGCTCAAAGCCACCAGGGCTGCCAGGGCTCCGCAGCAGGGAAACGGAACCGTCTCCCCACTCTCAGCAGACGAAACAGCCCGGGCCCTGGCTGCTTCCCCTCCTGCCGGGACTCCCAGCCCCGAGCAGCAGAGCGAGAAGCTCTAAATCAAGTGTTTTTCAGCAAAACCAGGGCCCCGGGGTGGAAGGGAGAGGCCTGCCCTCTCTACGGCGGCTCCTCCATAATGAGCCTAAACAAAGCCGGTGCCAGGGAAGTTAATCTGCGCTGAGATAGGGGAGCCCCTCACAGGGTGGAGCCGGAGCCCCGGCCCGGGCATGGCGGGCCCAGCCGCTGGCCAAGGTAAACCTTCCTCTGCGATGCCCGGGGGGGGCGGGCCCAGCCCTCCAGGAAGGGAAACCCCCTCTTTGCCTGAATGCTGCCCTTTGACCACGTGAGAAGATAAATACATTTAAAAAAAAAAAAAAGAAAAGAAAAGAAAAAAAAAAAGATCTGTCCTCGGTGCTAGGAAGCGCCTGGTACAAAACACGAAGGAGGTCTCGCAAAACAAGGAAACCATCTGGTCGCCATTACAGCGCTCCGCCCCGCACGGTCCATCCGCGCCCGCTTTCCACGCACGCGCAACGTCCTCACGTGTGTGCGCAGCCGCGCTCGGGAGCACACGTCCTCACACGCGCATGCAGACATACACCGGGGCGCACGCGCCACCGTGCCAGCGTTCACCCTGTCTCACCCTGCCACACACATTCCCCCCACATCTCCTCACACATACAGACACATGCCTTCGCACAGAGGTGCATATACACCCACACGGGTGTACCCACAGCCACCCTCACACAGGACACACGTGTGCACTGTCATATACAAACGTGTGCACGCACACCTTTGAACACAAGGCCCACCTGGCCTCATCATGCAGTGTATTCTCACACATACCTGCATCCACAAACATCCACTGTGCACACACATACACAGACCCTCCATCCTCATGCATGTTTGCACGCTTGTATGTGCACACACACACGTCCACATAAATGCACCTTTACACAGAAACACACATGGGGGTACACATTTTCATACCACAACATGTCCTTACATGCAGCAAAGGTTCGCACCCATATGCGCATCCCCCCTAATATAAACACACATCCTCTAATGTACAGCGCAGAGAACTCTGCTCAATGTCACGAGGCAGCTGGATGGGAGGGGAGTTTGGGGGGGAATGGACACATGTGTATGTATGGCCGAGCTCCTCTGCGGTGCACCTGAAACTATCACAATGTGGTTAATTATGCACCAATGCTCAGCCACTCAGCCCTGTGCGAGTTTGTGACCCCACGGACTGGAGCCCACCAGGCTCCTCTGTGCATGGGACTTCCCAGGCAAGAATACTGGAGTGGGTTGCCATGCCCTGCTCCAGGGGATCTTTCCTGTCCAAGGATCATATCCATATCTCCTGCACTGGCAGGTGGATTTTGTACCACTGAGCAACCTGGGAAGCCTGGTTAATCTGCTATTCTCCAATACAGAATAAAAAGTTTAAAAAGAAAAAAGAAACTAATAAAGTGTGAAACAAGTTAACAAAAAACAAAGAAAACACACCTTTGCACCTGGACGCACACTCACCATCATGTGCACGCACCCATCCTTTGCTGCTGCTTCCCCGGGCCTCCAGCACATCCAGGGGAGAACCAATGAAATCCTGGTACTGAAAGCAGGTCATGTTGTTGCTGGTAAAAGGGGGCATTTTATGAGGCATCTGGCTATACCCCTGGGGTTCCTCCCTTTGTGAAGTCTGGCCAGTTGGAGCAAAGAGAAGCTGCAGGGAACGAGGTCCAAAGGAACAGAACCTGAAGGAGCTCCACGGCTGCTGCCTGAAACATCTGGAAATACGGGAACGGGCATGAGGAAGACAGCCCGGTGCCAAGAGCCGCCCCGGGAGCTGGAGCTCCTCTCTGAAGCCGGCCGGGTGCAGAGGCTGAAACACCGAAACGTGCTCTGAATTCTCCTCCCACCAACCACCACCACCTGGCCTCAGGGTCTCAGTCTCTAAGGCGAGAAGCTCAGGGACGGTGACCAAGCCCTTACTTCTGGGGAAAAAACTGTAATGTCGTGAGTGCCAGGCACCTTGCTGTGTTCTACACACGCGTCATCTGGTGGTTATTAGTATGCCCATTTTACAGGTAGGATAACTGCTCAGAGAGGGTGTCCGCCTTGCCAAAGATCACAGAGCTGGCGGGGGACAGGGTGAGCCACTTGTCACCTAACCTCCATGCTGTCCTGCCAAAGAGGAACAAGTGTTCATCTGGCCAGCTCTCCCCCGCCCACAGGAGCCAGGAAACCCTGGGACTGAGCCACCGGAAATGGATGACCTCAGCCAGCCTCCTTGTTTCACAGACGATGGGGAAAGTGGAAAGGGCCAGGGACTGGCCCAAGGTCTCGTCCTGTGTGTCCCATCCTCATTCCCGGACTTCACTCTGCCCAGCAGCCCCCAGAAGGAGCCGGGGAAAAGCCTTCAGAGACATCCCTGGGGAAGACCGCTGGAAGGCAGGGGCGCCAGGGCTGTAATGGTGTGGTGATGAGGTGGTGACGATGGGACTGTTTCCCCCTTTTGAGAAATGCTCTGGCGTCAGACAAGTCCTGGGGGGTGGAGGTAAGAGGAATTTGGCAGGATCTGGTTAGAAGCCATCTGGAGGCCGACGTGAGTACCAGAAAAGCCTCTGGGGGCCAGTGTGGGCTCATTGCTGAGTGTGTGCACAGCCCTCTGCTCCCAGAGGCTCTGCAGGGACCAGGGAGAGTCAGAGAGTGGTGGCTCTACCCGTGACCCCAGGCCAGGCAGGGACACTCTCCCCACCTGTCTCGCAGCCTTTGTCCTGGAGGACCAAGCCGGGCCACATTACACACTCGCTTGCTCGCCTGGAAACAACCTCACGTCATTGCCTCGAAGGTGGGGGAGGGGGGTGATCCTAGCACAAGTCACCATTGTTAAGCAATTCTGTGCGCGACTGTGATCAGCGTCTCACCCACATTCTTGCTTCATCCTCACCACCGCGCGGTGGAGGTGGAGCCAGCACTGCCCTCCCACCCCCATCCCATTCCCACTCCAGGACGCTGAGACCCGGAGAGGTTTGATGAGGTCTCCCAAAGTGATAACGATGGAGCCAGAACTCAAATCCTGAGGTAGTCGAGGTCCCGGCCCACGTTCCGTCCACGACGTCGCGCTGCACCTGTTTCACTATTTTCTGGCGCCTCGAGGGACACCTGAGCATCCCTTAAGCCAAAAAAAAAAAAAAAAGCCTGAATCCAGGCCATCACCTCTCCCCATCCCCACCCCCGGCCCACTTTCCCTTCTGAATTGGGAAGGGGGGCGCAGGGCTGGTCAGAGGAAGACCCCAGGAGATTTCCCCCCTCCCCCGTCCCCCGTCCCCTCGTGTTGGCCTCACTCACCCACGGATGAGTCAGCTGGAATTTTTGGACACCCCGGGCTCACAGCCGCGGTACCAGGAGCTGTCAGGGGGCTGGAATGCGCGGAATGCGGCTCCCTGGGCTCCCGCGTGCCCCCGCCCCGCCCCGCCCCGCCCCCAGGTTGGGAAGGTGAATGACACAGTGTTTGTCAAGGGCTTGGGACAACAGGTGCACGCGAACAGGAGGACAAAGACCGATTCTCTCCCGCGGGGCTGCAGCCACAGTTTCACGTCCCTCCCACGCACGTCCGCGTTCCAGGCCCGGATGCTCCACGCCCCGGGCTCCAGCGAAGGGCAAGAAGCCACTGATTAGGAAGCAAAAAGTAAAAGAGAAAAAAAAAACAACAACAACACGTCCCGGCTTCTCGAAAGACTGAATGTTCGACATCTGCCCAAGTCTGACTTGGCCCTTCAACGCCACCATCCCCAAATATACGACTTGGAGTTTGTCGCCCACCTGCTCACAGCCCTTGACGCGGGCTTTCCAGCAACTTCTCGGCGCGCGTTAAGCTGGTGGAGAAGGCGGCCGCAGCCCTTCCCTCTCCAGCTTGCTTTCTAGAGGAAGGTTGGGAGAAGAAACGTGTGAGCGTGTAATTACAGAATGGGATCAGGTGAGGAAGGAGACAAAGCAGGTGCAGGATGGAAATGGGCGGGCGGTTCCTTTAAAGTGAAATCTAACCCTCCAGGGCTGTGGGCTGTCTACATTTGTCACCTGTGTCTGAGGCCTTAACTCATGTCAGCCACCCAGAGCCCTTGTGACCTGCCAGTCACTTTGCTGGTGGATGCTGGGTCACTTTGTGAACTCTCTGCCTGCCTGGTGAGCCCCTCGGGGGCCAGGAAGCCTGGTTGTATCGCACACTCGAGACTCATGGGAATTCCGTCTAACACACGAGGCCCAGATCCCTTTGATTTCAAAGCCAGGCACTGGGGAGACACATAAAGAATAATTCGTTAGAGGATGGGCACCCCCACGCTCCAGCTGACTGTAGGAAGGACAGGAGGAAGAGGGGCTGTGAGCAAAGAAACCATGTTCAGGAAACCCTCCATGCCGGAAGTCAGCCTGGGAGCCCCACTGGACTCAGAAAGGCCACATCACACACACAGGCTGGTTAGGAGAGAGGAAGGGTTGAGGGCAAAAAATCTGACTGATCAGCCTCTCCTCCGGAAGTTCGGGCCCACGGATGTTGCCTCGATTACCTATCGCAAGGAAGAAATGCCAGAATTCACCCAGGCCCTTGCTGACGCAGGGTACTGGAGAGAGAGAAACCGCTGGGCTGATTATCTTGGCTTTATCCTCCACATCTGTTTCAGCTCAACATCTCTCCTTCTCGTCTTTAAAGAGATGGCTGCAAGGCTAGAGAATCTCAGAGCTGCAAAGGGTCTGAGAGACCTCACATCTCACCTCCTTCTTTAAGAGATAAGAGCTGTGTCACTTGAGAGGCCATGACTCACTCAAGGCCACACGGCGTGCGGGGTGGGGGTGGGGGCTGGGCAGCTGGGATTGCAGCTCTCCCTTCCCAGGCCAGAGCTTTTCCCGGTTCTCCAAGCTGCCTCTCGGATCCCGCCAAGTCGTTCCCACGCTGGCCTGGTTTAGGCCTCATTAGTAAAAAAAGCTGGCTGTGGTCCTTTCTCATTCCCCTCCCACCACCTCTCGAAAAAGGAAGGAGATGCTCTTCCAGAGCACAGCCAGGATGGTTTTGCTTGTCATCTGATGTCTGGGAGTGCCCATGCCAGGCTCCACTCCAGCGCTGCAGCTCCTTGCCCTCACATGGTGTCATAAAAGAATTCACCCTCCTGCCAACCTTGAGCATAGGAGGGCGTTTCTCAGCTGGGAATCAAGCCACCTTGAGGGCCAAGACATCAGAGAGCCTGTGCTCGGCTCTTACAAGCTGTGTGCTCCTTGGCCAAGGCCTCTCCTTGGAAGGCAGGTGCTCCCCAAGGAGTCCCAACCCCATTTCCTGACCACTCACCTCCACCCAAGCTGAGAGTCTCTCTGGAAGGTGAGCCACATCCATTCTGGAAGGGAGGATTATTCCTACCTCAGTCCTTTTTTTATTTCTGGCCACACTTCCAGTAGTCATGTACGGATATGAGAGTTGGACTATAAAGAAAGCTGAGCACCGAAGAATTTATGCTTTTGAACTGTGGTGTTGGAGAAGGCTCTTGAGAGTCCCTTGGACTGCAAGGAGATCCAACCAGTCAGTCCTAGAGGAAATCGGTCCTGGATATTCATTGGAAGGACTGATGCTAAAGCTGAAACTCCAATACTTTGGCCACCTGATGCGAATAACTGACTCCTTGGGAAAGACCCTGATGCTGGGAAAAATTGAAGGCAGGAGGAGAAGGGGACAACAGAGGATGAGATGGTTGGATGGCATCACCAACTCGATGGACGTGAGTTTGAGTAGGCTCCAGGAGTTGGTGATGGACAGGGAGGCCTGGCGTGCTGCAGTCGGTGGGGTCGCAAAGAGTCGGACACGACTGAGCGACTGAACTGACTGACACTACATGGCTTATGAGATCTTCGTCCCCTGCTTGCAGGCGGAGTTGCTTCAGTCAGTCAACTCTGCGACCCTACAGACCATTGCCTGCTGGGCCCCTCTGTCCGTGGGATTCTCCAGGCAGGAATACTGGAGTGAGTTGCTATGCCCTCCTCCAGGGACCCTTCCCACTCCGGATGGAACTCCCATCTCTTGCGTCTCCTGCATTGGCAGGTGGATTCTTTACCACTGGCGCCACCTGGGAAGCCCCTTAGTTCCCCTACCAGGGGTCAAACCCGGGCCCTTGGCGGTGAAAGCACTGACCACTGGACCACCAGGGAACTCCCCCTCCCCATTTTTTTTTTAACAAATGTGGAAATCCAGGCTCGGAGAGGTTAAGTTACCTGCCCATGGTCACCCAGCTAGTGAGGAGCAGAGTCAGAATTTGAACTCTGGTCTGACTCTCAAGCCCATCTCTTTCTGTAGCACCCCTCCATGTGCCCCAAAGGAGCTGGAGGCATCTCAAGATGCTTTTCCTGTGCTCAGAAGTAGTTTCCCCTGGCTTGCCCGAAACCCCCCCCACCCCCACTGGAGTCATCTGCTGCTGACCCCACCCTTTTTAGCAGGAAAGGCCAGGGATGGGCAGAGAGAGGATATACAAAGGTTTGATCATGGTAGGACCAACCTGGGCCCCAGGGGCAAGGGCTTGGGGGGGGCAAGGGAAGTGGCCCAGGGGAGAAAAGGTGGGGATGAGGGAGGCTCCCTCCAAACCCCACAGGGCCGGCTCTGGGGCAGGGACTGGCTTTGGGGTGGCAGGGCCCAGCGTGACTGGGAGGCATTAGTCAGCGGTGGAGGTTTATGAAAGGAGGAATTGTCCAGAGCCTCCTTACTCACCAGGCCAACTGGGCTGTCCCCAGAGACTGGGAGCAGGGCCGGTATCAGAAGGGGACCGGGAACTCCGAGCTGCTCACTGCCCCGGTTGAATGGCCCCAGCATCGGGGGGCCACGCGCGTGGGGGCCCTGCCTCACAGCCTATGAGTCACAGCACTCGGCTGACGGGCTGAGTACCTTCATTGTCCTCTCGGCCAGGGGACAGTGGGGTCCGACTCCCTCCTCCTAGGAGAAGGGACACCCAGGGCTGACTCACCAGCTTATCACCCTGCTGCCCCCCCCCAGTCCGAGGCCCCCAGTATATTCACCTACCATCCCTTCTTCAGTCTTTCATACAGTCATTCTTTTTCTTATTGTTGTTTTGGGTCGATCTTTATTTTTCCAATTGCAAAAGTAATCTATTGGCTGTTATTCAGCCTTAAAAGGGAATGAAATACTGACCTATGCTACAGCAGGGATGAACCTTTAGGGCACTATGCTAAGTGAATAAGCCAGATGCGAAAGGACAAATTCTATGAGTCCATGTATGTGAGGTTCCTAGAATCGTCAAAATCTTCAGGACAGAAGTTAGAGTAAAGGTTGACGGGGTCAAGAAGAGAAGGCACCAGACTTTGTGCTTTAAAGGTACAGAGTTTGAGTTAGGCAAGGTGGAAAGTGTTCTGGAGATGGATGGTATTGATGGTTGCAAAACAAAACTGATGTACCGATACCATGTATGTTCATTTTTAAGTGAACACACACTTAAAAATGACTAAAACCATAAAAGTTTATATTTTGTATATTTTATCACAAAAGCAAAAATAATCTATTATTCAAACGATACAGAAAAGTAAAAAAAGTAGAGACTTCCCTGTTGGCTAAGACTCCAGGCTCCCAGTGCAGGAGGCCTGGGTTCGATCCCTCGTCAGGGAACTAGATCCCACATGCTGCAACGAGGAGTCTGCCTGCTACAACAAAGACTGAAGATCCTGAGTGCTGAAACTAAGACCTGGCTCAGCCAAATAAGTAAATGAGTTAAAATTTTTAAAAAATGTTTTTAAGGTAAAAGGCAACTGTCCTCACCCCAGCCTCTGGAATATTTCAGACCTACTTCTGTTCCTGTACAATCATGGATGTCAGTTTAACAAAAGTCAGTCTGTGATGGGAAGGGTGCCCACCACACTCCTGGTCTCTCTCCCTTTGAAGGACACGCACATCTCACTAACCCCAGGTGCCGGCCCAGGGCCAGGTGGCAAGGTCGATAACCTCCCTCCGGCGAGAGCTCAGCTGTGTTTCCCGTGGTGCTTAAACCCTCACACGCATGAACTCACTTCATTCTTCCACCAGGGTGGTGAGGAAGGGGTCGTTCACACCCTCCTCAAAACCCAGTTCATAAATGAAGACTCAGAGGCTTTCACAGTTGAGGGATGTGCCCAGATCGCATCGCTAGATGGAGGCAAAGCAGGCGGTACTTCCCCCCGTGAGCCATTAGATTTTACTGCGGACAGAGAAGGGCCACGAGCAGAGTGATCATTTATAGCAGGGGTCCCCAGCCTCCAGGATGAACTGGGGTGGGGCTGATGTCATGACAACAGAAATAAAGTGTGCGGTAAATGTAATGTACCTGAATCATCCCGAAACCTTCCTTCCCCCCACCCCGAGTACAAATTGTCTTCCACGAAACCGGTCCCTGGTGCCAAAAAGGCTGGGGCCGCCGGATTTACAGAACATTTGCTCACTTCATAGTAATCCTTTAATTTCTGGCTTCCCTGGGGTAGGGCTCCTGTGGTCTTGCTCACTGACTGGTCCTCCTCAAGCCCTGGAACACAGTAGGTGTTCAACAAATATTTGCAGAGAGAATAGTTCTCATTCATGTCTCTGTCTGATCATCCCCCACGGTCCTGTGAAGTAGATAATTAGGAAATCTGATGGCTGCCGGTCTTAGTCATCCAGCTAGCGGGCGAGATGGTCACACGGCCGGGCTGGGCCACTGAGGTGGAGCCCTGGGCTTCTGGCTCACTTCCCAGGCCTTTCCAATTCTGCTGTCGAGGCCTGGGTCCCTGATATTACAGAACAAGGATAATTAATTGGGAGCAGGAATGCTTTGAGTCATAACCAGCAATAATAATAATAATAATAATAATTGTAATCATACTCATTGCAATCTTTAACTCATGTAAACCTGTAGCAATAGCACTGATGAGGCACTGTTATCTCAGGGCTTCAGTTAGGCCTGTAAGTGCCTCAACATCACACACAGCTCACAGGTGGCAGAGCTGGGATTCAGGCTCCATCCGGCTCCAGAGCCCAGAGGCCACACACCGCTAAACACTTGACCGATTAGCATCGTCAGTTGGACCCATGGCACAGCCAGGCTGAACTTTGGTGAGAGATAGGGCCGAATCCTGCCCTCATTCATTCTATTGGTCAGCTGAGCCACACCCGTGTGCTCGACCAAGTGTCTGTCCCCAGGAAGGAGGCTCGCCCCACCCCAGCAGAGCCTTTGGCCTGGTGGGAGAGGCCGATGTCATAATTACATGGCTAACTGTCTCATTAGAGTAAAGATGAGTACCACTCGAAGGGGTTGGGTTCCGCCAACCTCTTAGGGCACAGGCTTGGCCTGGGGGCTGGGAACAGCTGCCCTCGGGGAGCTGACATCTTTGCTGACATTTGAAGGGTGGGCCAGGATCAGGTGAGCAAGGTGGGAGAGCTTTCCTAGCAGAGAGGGCAGTGGCGTGGCTCTGACTCAAACAATGCCTGTGTGGCTGGAGCTGGTGAGGGGATGGAAAGGAGCAGGGGGGTGTGGGGGCTGGCACCTGAGTGCTCCCCTAGCAACTAGGGCTCCTGGAATCAGCTCACTGGCACGATTATCCTTCGAGAGCAAGTGTGAAAGGGAACATTAAAAATTCTCATTCCTTAGGTCTTCCCTAGCAGTCCAGTGGTTAAGACTGCACGTCTACTGCAGGGGGCGCAGGTTCGATCCCTGGTCGGGGAACTAAGATCTCACCAAAAGAGAAAAGTACCTTTCCTCCCCCATTGGTGGGGCTGGAGGGGTCCTCCCATAAGCATTGACTCCACTCCCCACCGTGGGTCCCTACAGCTGTTTGCGCCAGACACCACGCTCTCGGTCCTGTTTGACCCTCCTGACAATGTGGAGGGAGCAAAGGTGAGCAGGGGTCAGCCCACCACACCACCCACCACGGCAGAGGAAATCTGGGCAGGAAGAAGGGCCCTGGCTCTGAGTGAGTGAGGCAGGGCAAACCCAGGGAGGATGGAATCTGAGCTGCACTGGGACCAAAGCTTGGCCCTCGGGAAGGGGGAGAAGGTTGAGGACTTGGGGAACCCCTCAGATGGTTAGCGGTGGGTGTCCCCTGGGGGCTGGGGCTGACAGAGCTGAGGCTGGCACGTTAGTGAAGGGATGGCGAGCGGGTGTGCAGGGGGATCGGGTCTAAGGACCATTGCCTGGACGATCACGGTCAACAGAGCCACGACAGACACACGCCACATCCTTCAATGAGCCCAGTGGAGCAGATCCTTCTGACGATAGCATTTGTTTGGAATTCTGTTCTAATTATACACACAAGTGATGTACAATGTGGGAAAGAGCGGACGCAAACACATACCACGGGGAAAGTGTCCAAATCATTTGTAGCACACACACCCCCACCCCCACCCACCCGGATAGCCCTGGTCAGCCCATCGGAGCATGTGCTCCCAGGCTGCTGTTTGTATGCCAAGTGCTGGGAGGGGAAAGCCCGGGGAGGTAATGGGCCTGGGGACAGACGCCCGGATGGCTTTGAGAAGTGGGTGAGGTTCAGATTGGCCCTGCAGGAGGGGCAGGGTCTGGAAAGACCAGAGGGCTTCCAGGCAAGGGGACAGCACTGCTGAAGCCCAGGGCTGAGGGGGTGGGTAAGGCGCGTGAATTAATGGCACCTTTGCATGTGCCAGCCTCTGGTCTCACGAGTATCACGTGTGACCTCACTGGCCCTTCGCACACCCTGTGGGGAGGAGACAAGGGAAACCCCATTTTTAGGGTGAGCAAATAGAGATATGGTCCTAACCCAGGGCTGGCTTGGTCTCGAGCCCGAGGAGCCAGGAAGCTGGGGGGAGGGCGTTGTGCTGTGGGACGCGATCCCCCTGAGCTCCACCCTGGGACCCTGGGGTGCTGGCCATCCTCGTGGGGAAGGCGAGGGAGCTGAAGCACCTGGGCCAGTCGAGACCAGTGAAGGCAGGGGCTGGAGGCTCCCTTGGGTTGTCCGGTCCCATGCTGCGGCGGCTTTATCAGGGCGCTGCAGGCCCTGACTATCACCCAGCACATCTTCAGTCCAGCTTCCCGAGCAGGGCCTGCGACCCGGGAGGAGATAAGGCAGCCCTGATCACGGGGCTCTAACCGTCGAAGCTACTGCAGAGCTGACGGCCGGCTGGAAGGGAAGCCCCTCCAGGGTCTTCTGACCGCCTACCCAGGCGACCCTCCCGGCCCCCCGGGGACTAGGGCAGAACCCGAGGAGGAAAACCGCAGTGCGAAGGATCCTCTAAACCCCTGCTGAGTGTGCCTTAAGGTTCACAAAGCGCTTCTACATCCCATTGTCAGCACAAAACAGAAAGGCTGGGCCGGGCGCCAGGCAGGGGTGATCCAGGCCTCAGGTCTCACCCCTTTGCTGGCCTGTGACCCAAGACCTCACCTCTGAGCCTCAGTTTCCCCCTCTGTCCGGTGAAAGCAGCAGCGCCCTTTCTCCTTTCCCGTGGCTCACGCTGTGTGTCCGGCCAGCTGTGGCCGCCTCGCTCCTGGCCCTGCTGCCTCCTCACCCCTTCCCGCCAGGGTGCTACCTTTGCACCGCACCAGACACCCGGCCTTTGCCAGGCGGGGAGCTGACTCAGACCTCGGTCCACCAACGTGCTGCTGGGGTGGACTGGCCCAGACAGCCAGGGGATTCTTGTCCCGACTCCCCTCCGGCAGCCAGGCGGCGTTTGGCAGGCATGGCTGGGGCCTGGGTGAGAAAGAGGGAGGTGGGGAGGGGAGCCCCCGATGAGAAGGCTCGGATTTAGCCAGCGCAGGCTTTTGTGCTCTGAAATGCCAGGCCAGGGCAGTGAGCTCTGCCAACAAGGAGATTGGCCTCCAACAATAATGTTTTTCCCTGGGTTTCCAGAAAGCATCAGCTGCTTTCTAATTCAAACCATCAGGAGGAGGTTCACATGTGCTGAGTCTCAAAACCCCCGAGAAAGAACACAGCTCCCCCTTGCCAGACAAGAGCTGGCCTGGCTGGAACGGGGGTGGGGTGGGCTGGGCATGGCCAAGGGGTCACTGGAGCAAGACTGAGCGCCTCCCTGGGCCTCCGTGTGTCCAGCCGAGACCCGCAGCTGGGATATCCCCAGGGCAAGCTTGTCGCTGGTCACTCTACCCACGTCCACAGGGGTTACCCCCCCTTGTGCCGGAAACTGCCAGGCATCGGAGTGGTCACCGTAGCTGGTAACTGTAGTTCACACTGACCGAGCACATGTCTGCCAGCACATTTGTGCCAAGCGCTCGGCAGTCACAGTCTCTGGGCCACCTGCTATTCTTCCATTCTACAGGCTAGAAGGATGTTGGTCTCAGCCAGGTGAAGCTCCCCAGCAGAAGTAAGGAGCCGGGCTTCCAGCCCTGGGTCTGCCTCCAGCAGTCCCCTGCCAGGCCTTGCTGCTCGGCACGTAAAAGATGTAAGACTCGCCACTTCACAACTACTAAGTTGGCAAGAATCAGAAAGTCAGATAATAACAAGTGACGGCCAAGATGTGGAGAAATCCATCATTGTACGCTGCTGGGGGGAATGGAAAATGGTTCAGCCGCTTTGGAACACAGTCTGGCGGTTCCTCAAACAACTAAACATAGAGTTACCATATGACCCAGCAGTGCCACTCCTGGGTATCTACCTAGGAGAAACCAAAACATATGTCCACACAAAGACTCATATGGGAATACTCATAGCAGCGTTATTCATAAAAGCCAAAATGTGGAAACAAGCCAAAGGGATAAACACACTGTGGTCTGTCCGTACAATGGAATATTATTCAGCCATACAAAGGAGTGAAGTGCTGATACACGTTACAACATGGATGAACCTTGAAAACATGATGCTGGGTGAAAGGACCAGTCATAAGACCACATATTGTATGATTCCATTCATATGAAGTATCCACACTAGGGAAATCCACAGAGACACAGAGGAGGTTAGTGTTTGCTCAGCGGCAGGGATTGGGGGTTAGGGGGACCATGTCGGGTGGGTGATGACAGCCAAAGGTTCAGGCTTTCTGTTTTTTGGCGAGGGGTGGAGGGTGGGTGGTTGTTGATCAAAATATCCTAAAATGGACTGTGATGGTGGTTGCCCAGCTCTGTGAATACACTAAAAATCATTTCAGTGGGTGAATTGCATGGTGTGTAAATTCCATCTCAGTAAAAATGTTTAAGAAAGAAAGGATTTAAGGTGGCGTCTTTAAGGAGCTCACAGGTGAGAGAGGACAGCAATGAGAGAAGCGCTAACAATTCCATTCATGATCCTAGAAGGCACAGGTCATTCCACCCGAGACCCTGAGGACATAGCGCTCTGGGAGAGAGGAGGAATGTCTCTCAGCCCAGGGAGCTGGAGCAAAAGGGGAGGCAATCCAGGGAAGCTTCCTGGAGTAGGTGACACTGCATCTTGAAGAATGAGTCGGACAAGAAAGTGAGGGGGTGGGAAACGAAGTCCCAGGTGAAGGGGGCAGAAGCATACCCAGAAAATGTCCTGCGGGGCGGCAGTGGGGGACGAGCTGAGAGAGGGTTTGGGCCTGGCATGGTGGGAAAGGCAGGGTCTCCCACCTGCCCCCTCCTCGTCCAGTGTCCCCTCAGACAAGCCCTTGTCTGTCTCTGGGCCTGGATTCCAACAGACATGCTCCTCTCTCTGAGGGTGTGAGTGGGTCTCAGAGCTGGAGATTGAAGAGGGCAGACTGATGACAGATGAGAGTCAGAGGGCGAGGAGGTGGCCAGATATCAGGGCCTGGAAACCGGGGGACCGCGCTTCCCAGCCTGATGGGTGGCTGCCCGCGGGCCACGGCCCCCACCCCCGCCCTGACCTCCCCGGGAAGCCTGAGAAACACGGGGCCTGAGGGGAAATCGAAACAGAAACGCAGGTGTCTCTCCCTGGGCAGATTCCAAGAAAGAAGAGAAAAGGGGCTGGTAAGGGAGAGACCCTGTGAGCTTTGAAGCGGGGAAGGAAGCAGGCCTGGAGAGGAAGTGGAAGAGCGGGGTGTGTGAAAGGCGGGCAGGTGCCCTGGGTATGGGTGCCCTCCACCCCGGCGTGCGGGTGACCCCGGCTCCGGGAAGCTTCAAAGGGGAACCAGAAGCCGTGTGAGGGAGGTGCTTCCCAGGGCGGTGCCCGCAGCCTGGCGACCTCTCACACCAACGGGCGCCTCTGCCCCCTCAGCCGCTGGCTCTGCCCCTCATGGTGCTGAACTCGGGCCCGAGGGTCTGGGTTCAGCTGCAGCACTAATGCTTTTTTAATGGAGATATAGCTGATGTGCAAGATTGTACACGTTTCCGGTATACAGCACAGCGATTCACAATTTTTAAAGGTTATTTTTCATTTCTAGTTATTATAAACGATGGGCTATACTCTTCATGTTGAACAATATAGCCTCGTAGCTTAATTTATTTTTCAAAATATTTATTTCTCTGGTTGTGCCAGGCCTTAGTCACGGCCTTCAGGAGGAGAGTTGAATCTTGTGGGATCTAGCTCCACAATCAGGTGTCGAACCCAGGCCCCCTGCATTGGAACCTCAGAGTCTTAGCCACTGAGCCGCCAGGGAAGTCCCTATTGTAGCTTATTTTATAGATAACTGTTTGTACTTCTTTATCTCCTACACCTATCTTGCCCTTCCTCCCTTTTGTCTCTCCACTGGTAACCACTAATTTATTCTCTGTGAGCCTGTTTCATTTTGCTATGTTCACTGGTTTATTTTTTAGGGTCCACATAGAAGTGATATCATAGAGTATTTATCCTCATCTGACTTATTTCACTTAGTGTAATACCCTCCAAGCCCATCCATGCTTTTGCAAATGGCAAGTTTTCATTTTTTTTAGGGCTAATTATTGAATAGTATTCCACTGTACGGCCCTACTACATCTTCCTTATCTATTCATCTGTTGATGGATCTTTAGGTTCCTGCCAGGTCTTAATTGCGGCCTCTGCCCCCTCAGATTACTCCTCTGTGAAATGGGATGATGACGGCTGCTCTCCCTCTGCTATCAGGGAATAGGAAGACAGTCACATATGTGAAAATACCCGGCCCACAGTAGTAAACTCTCATCCTGTTCTGCACAGCATCTTCTCCTTTCTAAACCTTCCCACCTACTGTCGCCTTTGCGCATCATGGCACTAAGCAAAAAAAAAGGCCAGGCTTTCTTCCTACCTACTTGACGGGAGACAAAACTGAGGCTCAGAGAAGCCACATGACCAAGAGCATCATGTGGCAGCAGGAGAACCCAGGGACACGGGGCTCGTCGGGTCTGACCTCACCACCAGCGGGCCCTGCTGTCTGCCAGCCCCTCTGGCTCCCGAGCTGGGGTGCTGAGATCCTTCTGTTTTTCACAGAGACAGGAGACCACCCCACACCCCAGGTCAAGCTTCGTGATCACGTGGAGGGGCCTGAAACTGGGAAGATTCACAAACATTTGAAGGCGTCTCAAGCTGATGCTGGCTTCCCAGGTGGCTGAGTGATGAAGAATCCACCAACCTGCCAAGCAGGACACCTGGGCTCGATCCCTCGAGAAGATCCCCTGGAGAGGGGGAAGAAGACTCTAGTCTTCTTGCCTGGGAAACCCCATGGACAGAGGAGCCTGGCGGGCTACAGTCCAAGGGGTCACAAAAGAATCAGACACGACTGAGGGACTGAACAGTGACAGCGGCAGCAAGCCGATGCTCAGTTTAGGCTAGTTTCCAGGCCGGAACTAGAGCAAATGCTTGCAGGTCATGGGAACGTGAGAAGGGATTTCAAATCATGGTGAAGAGGAACACTGCGAATACACTGAGCTTACGGACAGGAGTAGGCTACCTGGCGGTAATGAGCTCCCCAGCCCTGGTCTGCTCAAGGGAAGACCTGACAGTCAGTTGGTGGAGCTGGTTCAGAGAGCAGGGAATTCTGAGGGAGGTGAGCTTGCAGCTGATCTTCTCAACCTTGGCGCGGTTGACATTCTTTGAGGCGAGGACCGTACGGTGGGTACTAAGGGCCTTAGTACCTGTACGATGTTCAGCAACATCTCTGCCCTTCATCCCTGATGCCAGCAGCACTGCCCTCCCCAATTTTTGTGACAATCCAAAGTGTCTCCAGACATTGCCAAATGTCCCCTGGGGCAAAATCATGCCCCCCATTTCCTCCCTTCCTGGTTGAGACGCATTGGCTTAATTATTTTTACTTTTTTTTGGCCACATCACGCAGCATGTGGGATCTTATTTCCCCTGCCAAGGACTGAACTCATGCCCCTGCAGTAGAAGGGCAGAATCTTAACCACTGGACCACCAGGCATGTTCTCTGAGAAGCACTGGCTTAGATGACCTTTAAGATCTCCCGAGAGCCCATGATTCCGTCATTCTGGACAAGGAGCCGCAAGAGTCACTCATTTTCAGGCCCCCCTGTGGCTGCATTATTATGAGCATCTTACACGCATCATCGTGTCATAATCAGCCTTGGTCATTCCGTCTTCTTACGCCATTCTCCCCTACTCCTCTGCCTGGCTGACTCCTGTTCCTCCCAGATTCAACGTCACTCTCCCTGGAGTCCCTCCCTGCCCCCTCATCTCGTTTATGTCCCCGTTTAGTGTTTCAGTCCAGCTCCCCACTGCTCCCCTAAATAACAGCATCTGAGTGCCTCCACCTCTGTCTTCCCACTGGACAGGGGGCTTCTAGAGGGTCACTGAATCTTGCTCACCTCTGAGACCCCACGTGATGTGGACTCCACACACACACACACACATACACACACAACCCTAAGGAGAGAGGCTGAGTGTTCAACTCACTGCACCACTAAGCCAATACCATCAGTGGTCAGTGGGGCTTCTGTGACCACCCTGTGCTGCTCTCAGGAGCCCCGAACTCCTGCTCAGGAAACTACCAGGTCCTTTTCTTCAAAGCTGGAGGGAGTTCCGTCTGGGATACCCGGGGAAGCCAAGCTAAGTCCCATCCAGGGGGTGGGCAGGGCAGGGCAGAGGGTATTTCGATTAGGTAGAAATCGAGGTGCAGGGTGGTGGGAAGCCCACTGCCCTTCATGGGCTCAGGCTGGGCCTGGGGGTCCGGTGATCAGAGTGCAGTTGGCCAGGTGGCCTCTACCAAGGTGCTTAGGGCCCCAGAGGTGTCCTTTGTCAAGTGAGGAAGATTTGAACTATGTTGGTGGTTTCTGACCTTTTACGGATGTTTTCATTTTGTTTTTAGCAAAAGAAGCCCCCGTCCCTAAGGAAAAATCTCACATGATGGCCCGATAGAGCTCTGCCTTCTCAGTGCGCCCAGCTCCCCCCTCCCCCTGGAATAGCCCTGGGTCACTTCCCCGCCCCGCCCAGGGCTCCTCGGGGCCCAGTTTGAAACCCACTAGGGTTTCTCTGAGGTCTTTCTAGCTCCCATGGTCTGCGGTTCTATAACCGGCCCCACCAAATGGTGAAACACAATCAAACGTGCCAGGGACAGGGTGGGGGGGGAATGTGGATGTGACGGCCCCTCGGGGTGTCTCAGGGCCCAGGGAATGGCCTGGGACCGGCGTTATCCTTCAACTTGCTGAGATGGAAAATTCCGGTCATCCGAGTACGGTGTTTACTTCTGTGGGTCTCGGGATAAACAGGAATGCACAGTACCCAGCAAAGATAAACGTATGGAACTCATTACCCCAGAGAGGGTGACAGGCCGAGGACATGAGCACACCCAGGCAGGCCCCACTGTCTCTGGATGACAGACACCCAGGACTGGTCACAGCCCGGGCAGCGGCCGCGGTCCCCAGACAACAGCTGTCAGGAGGCCAGGAGACTGCAACTCTGAGACGCTACACAAGCACTTTCTCATCGCTTTGAGGTTTGCTGTACATTCTCCCCACCCCACCCCCACTTTTTTTTAACTGATTAAGAAACCAAGGTTCAGGGAAGTAGCATCACTTGCAAGTGGCTGAAGCCAGAAGTAACATCACTTGCAACTGGCTTCTCTGGCAGTCGAGGGCCTCCTCCAAGTGCCCCTGAGCAAACCCAGACTCGGTCTCCTAACCTGGACGCTGCGGGTGTTTGATGGGAACGTGTTTGCCTTCCCATGAGCACAAGTGGTTGCTCAGGAGTGGGGATTGAGTGAGGCGCTAATGACAGAGAAAAAATGGATAAAGACGTGGTCCCAGCTCCATCAGAAGGAAGAGGGGCTAAGGCTTTACTGTGCCAGGCGGCTGGTGGGGGGGTGGGGTGCAGTGGGGTGCGTTTGGAGAAGGTTTCATGAAGAAGGGGGTGCTGAGCTCATCGAGAGACTGAGCAGTCAGGCGGCAGATGGGGACGGTCGGGACAGCATGCCCCCACTGGACCGCCATGAGGTCCCTTAATGCAAGTATTACTTAGCACAGGCCAGATACTGTTATATGTTGTACATCTGTAGAAGAGGGGAGAAGCACAGAGGGCCGGGAACTTGCCCAGAGCCACACAGCCATTCTGTGGTCCTACACTCCACTGCTGGGGACGCCATGTGTCTCCTGATACACGCGAGTCTGTACACATTTGTGAGTGCCGGTCATGGGGTGGTCCTGTGTGCACCTCTGATAGCGCCAGGATAGAACGGGGCCTCAGAGACTCACATAAGAGTATTGAGGAGGACTTCCCTGGCGGCTCAGTGGGAAAGAATCTCCCTCCCAATGCAGGAGACGCGGGTTCGATCCCTGATCCAGGAAGATCCCACGTGCGGCAGCGTGGCGAAGCCCTGCGCCGCACCTACGGACGCGCATGCACCCTAGAGCCCGTGCCCCGGAGGTAGAGAGCAGCACCCCAGGCCACAGCTGAGAAAAGCCCAGACACAGCAGCGAAGACTTAGCACAGCCCAAAATAAATAATAAATAGAATTTTGAAAGTAGAATGTTGGGGAGATGCCAGCTTGGAGGTACGGGGGAAATGCTCGCAGGAGAAGAGGCCCGCGTAGGAGCCCAGGTCGGGGGAATGACGTCACAGAGATAAGAACGCGAAGGATGCTCTAGGAGTGGGGCACGGAATGCTGGATGCACAGAAGCGGGGAAGCGGGGATAAGCGCAGCGGGTCCTGGAAGCACAGGCAGTTTGGTTTTGCTGGAGCGTAAAGCAGGAGGTGTTGGGGAACGAGCCTTGGGGTGGGCGGAGCACAAGCTGAGGCCGTGGACTTGTTCCTGAGGCTACCGGGGAGCCACCGAGGGCTTTAAGCAGAAGCCGCGTGGGCCGATTTGTGTTTCAGAAAGATTACTGGGGCCCCAGCCTTGAATCAGGGCCATGGGGCCAGGACTAGTGTGTCTGGGGG